CATGTCTCAAGACGCAGGTCCCAAGCCCACTCACAGTTTCCCAAGACATCACGTGGGCGCTACACCGATACGACAGTGATTCTTCGCGAGTGCTACGCGCACGCTGGGATTGTATCTCAGTGACGCTGTTTTTTGCTGGTGCAGCAATAATGCTACACCGATCGTAAAGCACACTACGAGATGGTTGTTTCGCTTACGCATGGAATTCCTTCACGATTTCAACCGTGGGGTTGCAGACAGCTGATTTGCATGCTGGGCGCATGCATTTTCACATTTTCTGGGTGTGCCTGTCTGCAGGTATGACGCCGGTGCCGCCCCGTCACGACGCCCAGCCCTTGACGCGGCTACTGTGCTAGTGCAGTGGGCACCGCACGGTTGATGCACCTGGTGGGTTCAGCATTTTGTTGATGACAGTCTTCGGGCTCCATCACTTGTTCTACTTGCTCTTCACCGCCACTGCGCCCTGGCAGCGCCCGCGGGTGCGCCTTGGCTCCGGCCCGGCTGCTGCCGCGGTCCCCGCTGCCCTGGCTGGCCGCTCCGGCCCGCTCACCGCGGAACTCTTCCACGTCTGTGCGCCTCGTTCCTTCTCCCCCCGCGCGGCCGCTCCCTCTTCTCCTCCTCGCTCTCTTGCACGCCGGATAATTTGCCTACCGGTGCACCCGATTAGCCTCACGCTGGTGCGGGTCGCCTCTGCCCCGCCGCCGACGGAAAAAGTCTGCACAGACGCTTCCATTGACCACTAGCAGAGCGCCCGTCGCTATGACAGGGGCTCTCGAACAGGAGCAACGCTTGTCCTCAACGAGGCTTGCACGCCGCCGTTTCGGCCCAGGTCCGTGTCTTGACTCGGCCCCAGGAACCAGAGGCCAAGCCTGGTTCGCATTGAAGCCTACATATTCCCTGCGCTCGCCCGCCGAGCACGAGCGAAGGCGTGCGGAGCAATGACGGGCGCCGGCAACCCGTTCCAGTTCAGCAGGGCAGACCCGATGGGGGTACCGTACGCGGTCATTTTCTATTCCCTTTGTGCGGTCACGGTCGTGTTGGCGTGGGCGTCGCAGCCTAGGGCCGAGAAGGCCTTGGGCGCAGAGGCGAGCCGGCTGAAGTGGGTCTACCTCGCCGCATGGTACCTGTGCGTCGCGGGCGACTGGCTGCAGGGGCCTTACGTCTACGCCCTGTACGACGCCTACGGCTTCAGCCACCGCGGGATCTCGCAGTTGTTTGTCGCCGGTTTCGGCGCCTCGATGGTGTTTGGGACTTTTGTCGGGTCGATCACAGATACGATCGGCAGGAAGAAGGGATGCCAGCTCTATTGTCTCCTCTACATTGCGTCCTGCATGACCAAGCACTTTTCCCACTATTGGGTCCTCATGGTCGGGCGCGTTACCGGTGGCATCGCGACGTCCTTGCTGTTTTCCGGGTTCGAGAGTTGGCTCGTGGCGGAGGCGTGCGAGAAGCGCAGCTTCGACAAGGACGCTCTGGGGCACATTTTCGCCCTCATGTGGTTTGGCAACTCTCTGGTGGCCATCCTCACAGGGGTCCTGGGTGATGTCACGGTGGGGTTCAGTGCACTCCAAAAGGTCGGCGAGACCGCGTTCCACGTTGGGGGTCTGTGCTCGCCCTTTGACCTCGCCATCGCCCTGCTTTTGGTCGGCCTGCTGTTCATCAGCCTGCGCTGGGAGGAGAATTACGGCAGCCCCGGGGCCAGCGGCGAGCAGACCAGCGAGCAGGCCAGCCTCGCCACGCAGGTGAAGGAAGGCGTCCAGGCGATCGCCGGCAGCAAGCAGCTGATGATCATCATGATGATGGTGGCGTGCTTCGAGGGCTCCATGTACACCTTTGTCTTCAACTGGACCCCAGCCTTGAGCAACAAGCTGTCCACGCCTGCGTTCGGCATGGTCTTCGCGAGCTTCATGATGGCATACATGTGCGGCTCGTCCACCTTCGACCTCCTCCGGGGCAAAGGCGCCTCGGTTACGCTGCTGGCGAGGTGGGCGTTCGGCCTGGGGTCCGCTGCGTTCCTGCTCGCGGGATGCACGTCCAAGCTGAGCCTGAATGTGTCCCAGCTGATCTTCATCTACCTGGGCTTCCTCCTCTTCGAGTTCTGCTGCGGGCTCTACTTCCCGTCCATCTCCACCATCAAGGGCCAGGTCAGGGTCAATTTCGATCCCATTGACCCAGCTCGATATCCACTCTGGCCGGCCCGATGCCATTCGATACCGACTTCTCGACAATCCGATGCGGCCAGAGGCTTGCAAGGCGCTTGTGTGCGTATGTGTGCCCAGACCCCCGACGTCATGATTTTTTCAACGTTGACCCTCAGAGGTCTCGACCCACTCTTCTGGGCCGGCTTTTCATCCCGAGTCGGTTTTTGACGGCCCCGAGGGCCGGTAAGGGCCTCCAGAGTCATGATGTTCCAACCAAGTTTAGCCTTGATCACCAGGAAGAATTTCGAGCACCATGAAGTACCGAAACTGGAGAGTTTTCACGTGTCGGGCCTTGGGAGGCGATACTCGTTCGACACTGTTTCGATAATTTTCTGGGTGCCCGAAATTATTTTGGGGGATGTGTTTCTCAAGTACGATGGGAACAACATAACTCCAGAGGCCGAAAATATAGAAAAAACCTCCCGTCGTGATTTTGGTCATTGTCCCAGGGGGTCCTGTGTGCGCCCTGACCTGGCCGATCCGATCCGACCTCGCGGCTCCGCCGCGACACTGCGTAGCCCGGCACGCCGTTCGCACGTCGAGACCTGGCTGGCCCGACCTGCTTCACCGAGCGCGTTCCACTACTCGCAAAGTGCCGACTCACAAACGTCCGAGAAAAAAAACATTGGTTTCCTGGATGTAAGATATATCGCAGACCCCCCGCGGCGGATCCAAGCCATTTGCGAGCGGTTACTCTTCGAGCAGTGCAGCGCGCTTTTGTCTGCTGCCGAGCCCACGCGGGCCGAGCCTGCCAGGCCGTGCCGGAGAGCGTCCGGAGCACCGTCTCAGGCGGGTGGTGGTGGGGGGCGGCCCAAAGGCCCAGACCCCCCCGGGCAACGTCGTCGTCGTCGTCGGCGGCGGCGTCGTCATCGTCCTCTCCCACCTCCTCCTTCTCCTCCTCCTCCTCCTCCTCCTCCTCCTCCTCCTCCTCCTCCTCCTCCTCCTCCTCCTCCTCCTCCTCCTCCTCCTCGTCCTCCTCGTCCTCCTCCTCGTCCTCCTCTTCCTCCGCCTCCTCCTCCTCCTCCTCCTTCTCCCTGCGCTCGTCCTCCATGAAAAAATCATGACGGGATGTTTTTCCAGATTTTCGGCCTCGGGAGGCCCTTCCTGCATGGGCCTCGGTGTCGTCCAAAAACGACTCGGTACGAAAAACCGATCCACGGAAATGGGTCGAGACTCCAGGAGGTTTTTCCGTAGTTTCGGCTTCTGGGGGCCTTTCCCAGGCCTCGGGGCCGTCCAAAAACGACTCGGAACGAAAAAACGGTCCAGGAGAATGGGTCGAGACTTCTGCGGGTCGACGTGAACAAAATCATGACGTCGGGGGTCTGGGAAGCGGGGCGTTCTGAAAAGGGCCTTGCCTTCAAGGATCGAAGGAGTTGCCACCTCTTCCTCGGCGGAAGGGCGGCGGACGCAAAACGAGGCCGCCTCCGCCGGCGGAAGCCGGCGGAAGCTCGGCGGCAGGCGGCGGAAGGGAAAAGCTGCGCCCCCGAGAGACGAAAACAGTGTGCGGGCTCCGGGCTCCCGGAAGCGCCCACACAAAACGAGGGGGCAGAAAGCGGAGGCCCCTTCCGGGCAGGCGCTGCTCTTCTTCACACACACGCGCGCACGCACGCACACGCACGCACCCCTTGGGGCGCATCCCCCTGCTGCACCACCCGCCCGACCGTCTACAACCTCTACCGCGTCCCGATGAACGCCATCGTGCTCGCCGTCCTGCTCACGAACCTCTCGATGACCAGCGTGTTCGTCACCTGCTTCGCGCTGCTGGCCTCGGCCGGGGCGGCCACGGTCGGCCTCGGGAGGGCCGGGGTGCCTGGCCTCGGGGCGTGCGACGTGGAGAGCTACGGCACCGCCTCCGGCAAGGGCCTGTGAGGGCCGGCGCCCGCGGGCCACGGGGGCCCGCGGGGGGCCCACGGTCGGAGGAGCGAGGAGGCGATGGTGGCGCCCGGTGGTGGTGGTGGCGCCGACGGTGATGGTGGTGGTAATGATGGTGGTGGTGAGGGCGAGGGCGAGGGCGAGGGCGAGGGCGAGGGCGAGGGCGAGGAGGATGAGGATGAGGACGAGGATGAGGACGAGGATGAGGATGATGATGATGATGATGATGATGATGATGATGATGATGATGACGATGATGACGATGATGATGATGGTGATGATGGTGATGATGCTGCTGATGATGATGATGATGGTGATGATGGTGGTGCTGATGGTGGTGATGACGGTGATGATAATGATTGTGGTGGTGATGATGATGGTGATGGTGATGAGGAGGAGGAGGAGGAGGACCATGATGATTATGATGATGATGAGGAGGAGGAGGACGAGAATGATGATGATGGTGGTGGTGATGATGATGATGCTGATGATGATGATGCTGATGATGGTGATGCTGATGATGGTGGTAGTGATGATGACAATGAAGATCCAAGGTGTTCAGCTTTTACAGTTATCCCACGCTGCCAAAAACGAATGGGCGAGTGCGAATGGCCGGGCGCCGTTAGAGGGGCCGTTAGAGACTTTGGAATTCTCAGAACGTATCTCGAGCCAATCGCGTCATGGTATTATCCTCGTCCTACACGGTCGCTCGGCCTTGGCAGCCCACGGGGCAGAAGGAGCCCACTGCAGATCACGAAAGGGGCGCTCTGAGGAGCCCGAGGGGATCTGCCTCTGGGCAGGGTCGGGGTCGGAGCAGCAGGGGAGCGGCGCAGGCGAGAAGGGGACGGAGAGGGGGCAGGTGAGCGCAAAGGGGGGCGCCGTCAGGAAGGGACGGCGGTGGCCCCCCCCCCCCCCCCCCCGTGCGCCATGGGCCCGGCGAGCGGGCCTCCCCGTGGGCGTGGCTGCATGGGGGGGGGGGGGGCGGCGAGGCACGGGGGAGGGGGGAGGAAGGGAGGCACGTGCACCTCTCGCACCCCTCCAGGGGGCCGGGCGACGCGCTCCACGACGCGGCGCACGTCGAGGAAGGGGAGGAGGAGGAGGAGGAGGAGGAGGAGGAGGAGGAGGAGGAGAACGAGGCGGAGGCAGAGGGGGGCGTGGACGCCGCCTGGCCCCGCTACGAGGGTGGCAAGCGCCTGGACCGCACATGGCTGAAAAGCCGCGGCGCGCAACGCTGCATGCGTTGCGGCGAACGCGCGGACATCGCGCAGCGTGTTTCGCGCAAGTGCCAGCAGCGGGGCACGGGCGCCCGCGACGCGCGCATGCGAGCGGTGACAAGGCCCAGGGCGCTGAACCGCATTTGCAAAGGCGCGCGGCAGCGCAAGTTCCCTAGCGCGACAGAATGCCCAGCCTGCCGGGCTGATGCAGCGCTGTGAGATTAGATTACTTTCAGCGCAGGCGATGCCTCCGAGACAGCGGAGGCGACGCCTCTGGATATGATATGAATCAACAATACACACAAAACAATACAACGCAAAAGTTCATGTCATCCCAGGTTCATGGAGACGAAGCGGCGCCACGACCAGCGCAGCGCCGCGGCGGAGCGCCGCGAGGCGCGGGGGCCGCTCCGGGGCCCAGAGGTGCACAGGAGGCGCACCCTGCCTCGCCACCTCTGAAGTTCCCGCCCCCCCCCCAGAACACGCACGCGACGCCCGACCCCTCTCTCTTGCGCTCCCCTCGCGGCCGCTCCTCCTCCTGCCCACCCCGTGCAAGCGCACCGCGCCGCGGTGCAGTCCGCCGTGGCTTCGGCCGCGCCGAGCCTTGTGCCGGAGGGCCGGGACCTCCTCGCGGAAGCTCCCTAAGTTCTCGGGGGCCGTGAACAGCGTGGTGTGGCGAGCAAGAGGGGATTCGGGGCCACCGTGGGTCACCGCACGGTCTTGGGACCCGGGTCGTTCTCCGAGGGCGTCGCGGGCGACCAGGGCTTTCAGCGCCCCCGAGGCCGTGCAGTGACGGACCGCGCGGTGAGATCCTTTGGAGGAGGAGGAGGAGGAGGAGGAGGAGAAGGAGGAGGACACCGCGCGGTCCGTCACCACGCGGTTTGGGGACCCACCAAGAGAATTTCGCGGGAGCCTTCCATATAATATCCCTCTCAAGGCCTCCCAGAGTCGGCCACGCGCAGAGGGGGGAGGAGGAGGAGGAGGAGGAGGAGGGAGAGGAGGAGGAGGAGGAGAAAAAGGAGTGAGAGGAAGATGAAGAGAAAGAGAAGGAGGAGGAGGAGGAAGAGGAGGAGGAGGAGGAGGAGGAGGACGAGGAGGATGGAGGGGAGGAGAAGGGGGAGGGGGGAAGGCTTCTCAGAAGCACCGCTGCTTCTGAGAAGTCTTCCCCCCGCCCCCTTAATTACCCCGTTGTGCGCGCCGCCAGCTCTTGGAGCCCTTTTCCCAACCTTGCCCCGTTCCGCCTACTACCGAGCGTTGCGCATACACGGGCGGCCTTCTCAGAGGCCAGAGGGCTTCTTAGAGAGGGCTGGTTTCTTGGCAAAGTCTTCTCAGAGGGCTTCGCAGAAGGCAGAAGCGATTGGCAGAGGCAGGGTGTTTTTTCAACCCACTTTGGGCGCGCTGGCAGCCTACTCTGATCCCTCTTTTCCTCCTCTCGTCCTCCTCCTCCTCCTCCTCATTCTTCCCCTCCTCTTCCTTCCCCTCCGCGTCGTCATGGGTTGTGTCCAGACTCCATGGGTGCCCCCCCCAGCGGCCATTGTCGAAAGAAATATTGCGTTGCTCAGTTTGGATTGCTGCATGATAGGACGAACTCGGCGTGGGACTTCTGGTCCGACCGAATTTGCATAGAATGCGGGCAGATTGGCCATGCGAAATGAGTGATAATTGTGGTTCATGTTGCTTGTCTTCCTTTGGCCACATGCCTCCAGCTTGTCCGCTGCTTGCCGTTAGTGTTGCATGGAGCGTGTGTTCCTCTTGTCTTCTTTACCATGATCGAACTTCGCATAACGATGGCCAGGGCGTCCGTTTTTCCGTTCCGCTTGATCCGCCGGCCCGCCGCTGTTGTGAATGATTGGGTGCCACCTTCGCCCGCAAAGCCCCCATCCTTCAGAGAGGGATCAGTGTGGCCCAAAGACCGTGCCGACCCTCATCCCTCGCACGACATATGGCGCGCTCTAGGAAGCACTTCGCCTTCCAGGAATCGAGAGATTGACATACCTCCCTCGGCGGAAGGCGGCGAAAGCAAAACTGGAGGTGCTCCAACGGCGGGAGCCGGCGGAAGCTAACATCCTTCCCCCAAGAGATGTAAGTGTTTGGGGAATCTGGGCTTCTGGAAGGATCCACGCGACCTGGCGCGCATCCTTCAAGCACCACGCCCCCCATCTTTCGCAAAGCCCGTGGTCTCCAAACGACGCCAGGCCTCATCCCTCGCAAGACGCCTTGTCTGGCACGTGCCCTTCACTCACGACGCCTTTGATTCCTTGAAGAGCGCGTGGTCCCCAACGAATTGGCACCGCCCTCTTATCCTTTACGAGCGTGTGACACGACACATGTTCTTGCACGCACGATGCAACCCGAAATTCGGGGCAGCCCTCAGCCTTCGAAAATCAGTTGGTTCGGCGCCTGCAATTCGCGCACAAATTCCACGAAGCTTTGCATCATTCGCTGAAGCACGTATTCGGAAGTTGTGCCAGCCTTCACCTCGCACAAATATGAAAAAAAGAAGAAGAAGGACAAAAATTACGAAACGCTCTTTTTTGACCCCCATCCCTCGTGAAAAGCGTAGCCTCAAAAACCCATCAAGCTTTGATTCAAAAAACGTTCTCCAGAAACGAATCCGCTGATTGTCCACCGCCAGAAGACACGGTACCCAAATCACGCAGGCCTTCATCCCCCCGCCGAGCAATGGCCCGCCACATGGTATAGCTTATCCTTGTCGCATACCGCCCACCCCTTGCAACACCCTTCTGGTGACAGCGCTGGCACACGCGAGCGCGACTGCACTGGGCGCACTGGAGCGGGCTGGCAAGAGGCGAGCGGCCGCGGAGGCGGAGGGGGGGCAGGAGGCCCGGCCGAAGAGCACCACGGGGTGACGGGCGCGCGCAGGCGGCCTCGGGCGCGCGATCCCGAAGCCGCGCCGACCCGCAGCTCTTCCCTGCCCCGCCGGCCCGCGCGGAGGTCGCCGCCGTGAGGCGGCAGCGCCTGAGCCTCCCTGGCTGCGCCCTGCGGCGAGGGCGCCTCGGCGGCCGCGGTCGTCGTCCGCCTCTTTCCTCCTCCCTCTTCATCCTCATCCTCCTGCTGCTCCTGCTCCTTCTCTCCTCCGCCTCCTCCTCCTCCTCCTCCTCCTCCTCCTCCTCCTCCTCCTCCTTCTCATCCTCCTCCTCCTCCCCCCTCCTCTTCTTCCTCCACCCTCAATGCCTTCGTATAAACAGGTCCTCCCAGTCGCACCCCAGATATGTCGGTAGGGCGGGCCGGGTGTTTCGCCAGAAATTCCCTCGCCACTCACGGATCTGAAGCTTGAAGTCCGCAACAGCTTCACGGATAGGGAGGGTGGTTTTCAAATCGCGGTGTTCGCATCAGCGCCTCGCACATTCGTTGCAACAGTTCGCAACATCGTCACAGATGGATAGCGTGTTTTTCAAAATGCGGTTTGCGCCTCAGCGCCGTGCACATTCGTTTTAAGGTATCGTAGCATGTGTTTTAACATTTGCATGGTCGAAATCCCAAGATGGTGTTCTGACATGGTTCAGGACTGTCCGAACGCAATGATAAACTTCATTCGCGGTGTGGAAGGCACGAGAGTTGTGTTCTGGCACGGACTCAGATTGTTAGGACGCAACAGTCGCACTACTCATCCGCGGCGTTGGTGTCGCAGGAACGGCGTTCTGGCACAATTGAGGGTGATCAAAATTTGGCTTTTAATGGACCGCTCTCTGCAATAAAAAAGTAATGTCGGGACAGATGTAGAGGGAATTTGGAGAGGGTGTCTTGCAACTTCGTGGACGCGCCTTGAGGTTGCACTGGTCCTCCTCCTCTTTCCCCTTGCTGCGACGCCATGTCGGCTCAAATCGCATGCACATCTGGAGCCTGGGCGGGCCGCTCCATTCGCGGAGCCATCCCGAGCGTCAAGTTCGGGCGGGCATCACGACTTGCACCCTTCGTGTTTTTTTTCTAGCGCCCTCCAGCTCTGTGCCGCCGCGTCTGCTGTGTAAGTGGGCATCCCCGAGATACTGAAGCTGACCAAGGAGTTAACGCGAGGACGGATGATTGCGACATGACGACCAGCCGCATGAACACGATTAAGACTCAGCTCGCGATCAACGACCAGTCCGTCAAACAACTGAACGACCGCCTGATCACCCTCGAGAACAAAGCGTCCTCCTCCGTCGAACCTGGGGACATGCAGGCCGTTATCTCGCAGTTCGGAGCCATTCTCTCGCGGTATGAGTCTTTGGCAGTTTCTACCTCGGGGGCTTTGGGCAAATCCGCTGGTGAAGGAGATGATATGGCTGTTACGCTCCCGCGTTCTCGCAGGTGCCTGTCGGCCCCGCCGAACATCCAATGCAAGGACGACGACGACGATCCGCTCAAGGTTTGGGTGGTTGGTTTTACCAGGCGAACGCTGTCCAAATCGCTAGAAACTCATGGAACATGTCCCGTTGCCCATTCCCCCGCGCACATTCGTCAAGCTGGGGCGCAGGTCAAGGGATACAATTCTGTCAACCGTTTTTTACGTTTAGTTCCGCTAGCGATGCAACTCCGTTGGTTGACCAAGGGAGGGCCCACGGCATTCTTTGGTTAGACCGCACGACAAACACGCATGTGCAGTTCAGGCGAAGGAAAGACGCGCCGAGATCAGCACGTAAGGATGACCAGGTCTTGGGCAAGGTCTGGCAGGCGGTGCAGACCCATCTCTCCCAGTCCGACCAGTGGAACGACACCACCCACAAGCTCGGGGTCAACGGATTCCGCGGCATCCTGCTCATCGCTCACACCGACGTGGTCCTCGAGCGCTTCTGCGCCCGTGGGTCCGGCCCCGGTCAGGACGGCGTCATCCCGAACGTTGCTTGTCGCACAGATGTCCGCATGTATGGAGAGCAGGCTGTCGCCATGATCAGCTCCGCGCGCGGCCAACAGGTGCGCACCACGCCGAACATGACATGCAGTAGGCGCGCGCAGCCAGGCACGCGACGCCATTACGTCTAGTGGATTGATAGCGCAGAGTCCTCTTCCAGTTCCTCGTCGCGTTCCTCTCCGTCCGCTTGTTCTTCCAGCTAATCTTCGAGCTTGCCCTCATCCGCGGGGAGTTCCGCATCCATGAGTATCGCAAGGGCCTGGACCCATTCCCCGATCCTGGTTCGGTCCTGGAGTGCTTCCTGGTCGGGCGCGGTTCACCTCAGCCTGGTTCGGGCCTGGTTCTCCCCAGCTCCGGTCCCCGATCCTGGTTCGGGCCTGGTTCACCTCAGCATGGTTTCCTGGAGTGGTCGGCCCCTCTTCGGTGGCAGCACGTCTTCTCTGGAGAGAGTCAAAGCGAAATGCTTGAAATACTATAAGATCTGCATTCAAGAAGCCAGGGGCCTTCACTGGGACCTCCAGAGGATTGTTCCGAGGTGCTCGGCTCTTGGGGCGTCGGCCCCTTGTTCGAGAACAGGTCCGCTGGAGGCGTTTTCATTTCAGTGCACCCCACGCTGAGAGCCAAGCTCATGCACTGCAGCTGCGTTGAGCTGGTCGAGGGCCGAATGAAGTCCTCGACGCGGGCGGGGCCCAGCCGCGCGCTGCAAGTCGCCAACAGCCATCTCGACCCTCGTCTTCCCCTTGCCGAGCAGAAGCGACAACTTATGATTCTCAGTCGTGCTCCACTTCCCCCCGCCGCTGCTGCAGCCTTTCTCTTGGGAGGTTTCAATTTCCCACGCGAGGGGTGGGCTCGTTCCATGTCAGCGGCGTCACCAATTATTCGAGCAATGACACTGCAGTTTGGTTCTCGACCCTTTTCGGCGATTTCCGCGAGGTTGAGCTGTCCTGCTTCAGGCGCAAAGTTACCTCAGATGTTGCAGGACTCGCAGGCGGCAAGTGCGATTCGCACCGATAGGATATACACGAACAAGTTGAGTGCTGTCTTCCTCGAGCTCAACCTCAAGCCCCTCCCGTTCGCCACCATTTCTGAAGGTGGATACATGTCCGACCATGCGCCAGCATGCCTGCTTCCCACGACCCACGCCCGGTGAAGAAGTTAGTTTTCGCGTTCCTTGGCCCCGCGGCGCCATGATGGTCGCAGGCACGGTGGTCTTCTGCAACGCGTGCGGAGGAGGCCCGACCATGCTGCTGGCGGCACGCTGCGCTCAGCAGCCAGCCGACGAGAACGCCAGGACGAGGCCCAAGCGCATGCGTAAAGGCCGGCACCCGCTCTCGCACGCGTCCGTGGGTGACCCCGCCCAGTTGGCGCCGCAGCCCGCGGCAGCGGCCAGCAGCGGCGAAGCGGCGAGAGCCCCGCGAGGGCGTGGTGGCGGCGGGCCGAGCGCTGGCACTGGCAAGGCCGCGAGGCGGCTGGCGCGGCCAGCCTAAGGCGCAGCCCGCGGGGCGGGCTCCGCCAGCGCCCGCGCGGGGGGGCCGCGCGGGCGTCGCTTCGGGGCGCCCAGAGACGAACTGGCCGCCTCGCAGCCTGCTCCCTTCTCTTCCCCCTCCTCCTCACCCTCCTCCTCCTCCTCCTCCTCCTCTCCTCCTCCCTTCTCCTCCTCCTCCTCCCTCCTCCTCCTCCGCCTCCTCCGCCTCCGCCTCCGCCGTCGCCTCCGCCTCCTCCTCCTCCTGCTCCTCCTCCTCCTTCTCCATCCTCTCCTCCCTCCTCCTCCTCT